CTCTGGAGTTCTTGGGTGATGAGCTCCCTTAAAAGGAGATGCACCTCTGTTAGTATGAGTAGTACTATTAATCCATTTATATTAAATCTCAAGTGTTACAGTAAGGTAGGGGTAGGGTAGGGAGTTGGGATAGGATGGCGGTAGGGTGGGCCCGGGATCCGGGTTGGGCCAAGGTAGGGTAGGGTGGGGGTGGGGGTAGGATGGCGGTACGGGGGTGGGGGTAGGATGGCGGTGGGGTGGGGCCAAGGTAGGAGGCATGTGGTAAGGGGTAAGGTAGGGGTAAGTGGTAATATACGAGGGGTGGGGGTAGGGTAGGGTGGGTCGGGGTGGGGTCGAGGTGGTAGGGGGGTGGCGGTAGGGTAGGGTGGATCGAGGTGGGGTTGAGGTGGTAGGGGGTATGCCTGGGACCGGTTCGGTTCTTGTTAAAATTCGATGGAACCGTATAAAAATTGTAGGCTTTAAATTTGGTTCGGTTCTAGTTAAAAAAGTAGTTGTTAAGTTCGGTTCGGTTCTAGTTAAATTCGGTTCAGTTCTTACATTTTTTCGGTTCCTTATAAAATTTTATTATCCTCCTAAAATGAACACATTTTACCTTCAGTTAAATTAAAAAAATTCAAAATTCAAATCATGAAATTATGACCATTACATTATACATGCATGATATCTCAATGTTCAAATATAAAAAAATATATATCCAAGTGCAACATTAAATGTCAACATAACAAAAATCTCAATTTAAAATATGCATCAACTGTCAAGCAAAAAGGTTCAACATCTCCAAAGTACACATTCAATACTAGGTAGTTCAACCACAAAATAATATTCTTCTACTAATAATGCACAATAAGTAAAAAGTATGTAGTAATAAACACCGTAATCAACATAATATTAATTCCTTTTTTAGATGAACTCCAATAACAAATACAATTACAAACAAACAATAAATATAAAAGTGGACTAAAGTATTAAAATAATTACTCATATTGGCCTGGTCCATAATATATAAGGTGTATGGCCTGGTCCATTTGAGGTGCTTCCAGGTAAAAATTTTGATAAAATTTTGTGAGCGTGTTCTACATGAAATATAGACTATATATACTAAATTTCAGCTTAACATTGAATTGGGATGTGAGTTAAATAAAATATTGAAAAACATTTCGTTTTTTATATATGTTGGCGTAATGTTTTTCAATAATTTATTTAACTGACTTTCCGGTTGCATTTTAAGTTCAAATTTGGTGGACATAATCTTTATTTCATGAAAAACAAGCTCACAAAATTTCATCAAAAAATTCCACCGAGAAGCACCTCAAATGAAGATTACTCATGCAATGTATAAGAAGTTCGGTTCCTGGCTAGGAACCGGAACCGAACTGGAACCGAATCGGAACCGAACCGATGAAGTACTATAGGAACCGAACCGAAAAAACCTGATGTCCAAAACTATAGGAACCGAACCGAACCGGAAATTTTGGTTCGGTTCGGATTGGTTTTCCGGTTTTACGGTTCCAAGTCCCACCCCTAGTAGGGGGTGGCGGTAGGGTAGGGTGGATTGGGGTGGGGCCGACGTCGGGGCATGTGGTGGGGGGTGGGGGTAAGGTCATTATAGGGAAAAATGGGTACGCGGGGTGGAGGTTGGGTGGGTAGGGTAGGGTAGGGTAGGGGTAAGTGGTAAGGTACGAGGATGGAGGTACCGGAATAGAATCGACATCCGAACGGGATCGGACCCACCACTAGGTGTAAGTATGCAATTTCATTGCAAAGGCACTGTAGCATCTGCGTTTTCCAAATTTGGAAAACTAGTAAAAGTCACTTCTCCAAATCATTAAGGAAAAGAGAGACATGTTTCATTTTTTCCGTTTTGGAAAACGTTTTGGTAAACGCATTTTTCTTTTTTCCTTTCTCCAGTTTTCCAGGAATTTCTTTGGTAAACACGTTTCCCGTTTCCTGTTTTTCACTTTTCCAGTTTTCTGGAAAACTGGAAAATATTTCTGTTAGTAAACAGGCCCTAAAAGTCATGGGCTATAAACGAAATGCAGTAGACAAAAGAGGCTCACACGGGTAATTACCACTAAATATTGAGCTGATGAATCTTCGGGCCAATATGACATTCTATGTTGGGAATTTAGACAGAAGCCCAACAAAATAATCACATCTATTTATTTCCAGAAGCTCTGCTTCGCCTTGGCGCTGGCCTCCTATTCTACGACAATGCAGTGATTCACCGTGTTTAATTCCATACCAAATCCTGGTATTTCATCTTCTCCCTCGCTGCTGAAAAATCGTACAGATATGAAATAATCCAGATCGTAGACCTTTTTATCGTTAGTTAATTAATTCCAGATCTTAAACAACCCTCTACAGCTCTTCTTTGAGCCCCATATATATTTTGAAGATGAGTAAGAATACCCCACTCTGCATGTACACTTCATACCAATATAATGAATCTATATAAGTGCATGACAGGCTGATTCGGCTATATATATAAGAATATGTGTTTTGTTTGTCAAGTTTTTTAAATTAATACTACGTAGTAGGATTATCTATTGTGGCGCACATCAAATTATCTATTTTTTTAAATTTTTAAAAACACTATTGTCTATTAATTTTACGGTTTTCTGCATTTTGACGTCTCTTTCGTTATTGCTACGGCATAAAAAAAAAATTATGCAGAGATGTGTGGGAAAAAGTGAACATTCCTAGTTCACTTTATCTTATGGGTTAAAACTTTAAATTCTCTTCAGGAAGCTTATGATGGATAATGTATTTGCATAATTGCATCAAGCACTGGTCTCTGTTTGCATGTGTCTTTTGTATGAAATGGATTAAAATAAATACCAGAAATTTACTTAATAATCTCTGACCAAATGTCTGGTCAGTTACAAAGTTATTTATGAGTGACTACACAGTCAGAGTTTATAAATCACACATGTTATGTAGTTCTATGCTTAAAGAGATGGATATCGTCTCAATAACGCAATAAATAATACAGAGTTTAATACTCCGTATTAAGCATGTAAAGATTCCATCCTAAGGATCTGTTTTGAACCCAGGAAACGCTGAAGCGACAAAGTATTGCTAGGAAATTAGAAAGGAACAACATGGAAGGAATTAAATTTGGATGTAAAAAATAGTTGCTTTCTAACAAAATATATGACATTTATTCAAACCCCTTGTATTATATAAGGACTTCAGTTACATAAAGGCTGTAGAATCTAAATATATGTAAAGATTTGAAAAGTTTCAATGTAATTTGATTCTCCTTCATATATTCTAAGCTAAAACCAAGCATGAAGAGTCGCTTTCCTTGGTAAATGTAGTATGTTTTCCTTTCCCTACCGTTCCCCAAATTTCGAACATAGGCTATCTGTTTGGGAAGGAAAAGTGTTAGATGCTGTATGCTGTAAAATGTTGCTTGGCATCATGTCTTTGTTACTGCATACTTAATGATATTCCACTGGTCTTTGGCTCATTGCATATATGCTCTTGTTTCACTGTTTCTTAGTTTAAAAATTGTCTTCATGACCTTAACAGATTGCAAGACCGAAATGGAAACTGCAATAGAAACCTCAATACCTGATCCGGAACCAAAACCTAAAGTCATATACCGGTGCAAGAAATGCCGAAGAATTGTTGCTTCGGCAGAACGAGTTGTTTCTCATGAGCGCGGAGGTACTAAAAAAAGTAACAGCTGGAAAAAGGCGAGCGATGGTGATAGTGAAGCAGAATGCTCGTCTATTTTTGTGGAACCCATGAAGTGGATGAAAACATGTACTGTGTAGTCTTGCATTGAAACCATGCTTCTTTTTTATTTTTTTCTTTGAGTCTTACATTCCACTTCTCATTTTGTAGTGGAGGAAGGGAATTTGCAAGCTAAGCTTCATTGTTTGGGCTGCAAAGCACGATTGGGGTGCTACAATTGGGCAGGCATTCAGTGCAATTGTGGAGCATGGGTTAACCCTGCGTTTCAGTTGCATAAAAGCCGACTAGATGAATGTGTACTTGCTGAGTGAACACATTGGTGCTATACAAATCCAGAGTCTAGACTCTAGACAAAAATAATGAAGCATATTAGTAATGTGCAATAATATTTTGAAGTCATTGGATCATAGAATCAGAAGTCAACTATTTGTAGTGGTTCAGTCAGTTCTAGCTGCTTAGAAATCGTTCATGTTGGTATGTGTTAAAGTAGCTGCGCAGTAGTAGTACTGCAATAAGAACATGAAAAAAAAATTGCACCCAAAAACATAGGGCTCCATCTGCCCTTGTCCGTTGAAAGGCAAGTTGGTGTGGTAGGAAACACTGCAATCAGTGCAATAAGAGCCTTCTTTGGGATAGCGAGTCTTTGAGATGGGCCTAAAAAACAGTAGGGCCCAAGTTATAGCAATTAGTTTTGACACTTGAAAATTTGAAATACTCCATAAAAGACTTTTTTTTAATCGTCAAAACAGATGTCTTAAATTACTATCACAGCATTCAGATAGGGGGTAAAACGACAAAAGGATCACAGGCAACTGCCAGCCCTCAAACCATACATAGAGTTAGTCTTGGACTCGGGCCGGGTGGCCCGACCCGGAACCGGCTCGGGACCGGTACTGTGCTGAACCGGCCCGGCCCAGTGGCCCGGCCAGTGACCGGTCCGGGTAGTCCCGGCCCTGGGGTTCCCGGTACGCGCTCGGGTTACCCAAAAGCCGAACCGGCCCGGCAGGTTTGGGCCGGTTCCGGGCTTTTTAATTTTTTTTTTCCAATTTTTTTTTTATCTTTTCGGGTTGGGCTGGGTATTTTGGGCCATTTGGGGTGGTTTGGGGTGAGGGGGGAGGTTAATTAGGAAAAGGAAAAAAAATTGACCCGAGGCTGGGCCGGACCCGGTGACTACCCGGGCCGGTCCCGGGCCTCCTTCAAAAAACCCGAGACCCGACCGGGCCTAGGCCTAGCCCGGGTCCATGACTGCTTAGAGTCAATCACCTCCAAAAAAGTAATATAACTCGCTGATCCTATAATGGGCATAAATGAGCCAACGACGGTTAAAGAAGATCTCCCATCATCCAATTCTAATACAAGAGTCTTGCAATAGTCAAAGTAATCAACAGAAAAATAAACAGTCTGATCATGAAAAATAAAAAGCTAGCAAATCGTAAAATTAAAATATTGTTTCCAAATCCTAAACTCTCTAGCACTCCATGGCGGCAGTTCTGGAGGGGGATGGTCCAAAAGTACTGAGGGAGTGTTTGCAACTGCTTCTGCTTAAAAAAAAGCACTTTTGGAGAAGTTTGGAAAAAGTGATTGGTAGTAAAAGTTGATAGTGTTTGAGAAAAAAGTGATTTTGAAAAGTAAAAGTTGGTAGTGTTTGGTAAAATAAGTGTTTTTTGTGTAATAGAAAAGGGAAAAGTACTTTTCACACGCAAGCCGAGAAAAAGTAAAAATTGGTAGTGTTTGGTAAATAAGTGCTTTTTAAAGCCAAAAGCTGAGAAGTGCTTTTTTTTAGCAGTTGCAAACACTCCCTGAAGCATCTTCCTCTCCTTGCCTGGGTCGAGTCACCTCAATCGGAATATCTTTGAGCTCAGCTTCATCCTGATTCAACACCTCGGCATCCTCTTCAATAATATCTTCTTGTATCGGTTAACCATGCGCTCCATACAGCCCCTACTGCCTCCTAACCCACCAGCGAAACACCTCAGGCTAGAATCGGACTCCGCTTTTGTTCTTTGACGGAAAATCTTGCCGCCGAAATCGAATCTGCTCAGACCTCCTCGTACGATAAAAGACTTGATAAATTAGTTTTTATAGCAATTGAGAGCATTGTGTTTTGTGTGCTAGAAATTTCAGCAAGGACACATCATTGCGGAATTCATTGAAAAATTATTCTACTTGTAAGATTATATTCAAATATGGCCCCTAAATTGTGAGGAACGGCCATTATTACATCATGTGATGAAGTATATTGCAATAGATCATTAGCTGAACGTGCACAATCAGTGGAGGTACTAAATGAATACAATAAAAAATAATAAAAATAGGCCCTTGTATTTCGATTAATATATGGATTAATTTAGGTTACAGAACTGTGTCTCTGCTTCTAGCATGGTTGATTAATATCAGCTCATATATGAGTGTTTAAAAATCACATAAGTTGCTAAAAATAATACTCCCTCCATCCCTAATTTATTTTCTCAAGTACACATGACATACAAACTAAGATAATGAGTATTGTGTGGTGGAGTATTGTGTGGTGGAGAATTGTGTAGAGGAGAGGGAAATGCGTAAGAATTGCCGTGAAGCACAAATTCTTAGCCAAAAGGGAAAGTGAAGATAATATTGGGACGAACGGAAAATGAAAGTTTGAAGATAATATAAGGACGGAGGGAATATGTTTTCAATTGAAGGAGCAAATTTATTTAGTATTCAAAACTTGAGGATCGTTTTGATTTCAAATATTATCTAAAAAACAATCTAAAATGACATAAGGATGCACCAAAAAAACGTGGTGGAGCGGGCCTGGGAATTTAGACTCGCCTGAGTCTCCTTTACAAGTCTTTTCGTTACATTACTATGTTTTTGTTTTTGTTTTTTCCTTCAAGTAGTTTGGATTATATTTTTACTGGGTTGTGTTTACCCGGGGTGACTCTGTTGTTTGACTTTTACTTTTGGCATGTTGCAAGTACAACATAGGATAAGTGACGAGCGTACATCGTTAATCATGATTGGCTTACAGTTGCCCAAACAGGGATTAGCGAATCCTATTGCTCCTGAGTGGGTGTTAGTTTCTGACTCTGGTCCCATGGCGTATGATCGAGTAATGTTTTCTGATCTTTCTTGCTTGTCTCATGTGTCTAGTATTGCTGTTGTTTGATTGGATTCTATGATTTTACTATAATCTATTTTCTCTCTAAAATAAGGGTTGTCACAAGTTCGACTCATTCAGATAATTGTGGTGTTTGGGTTCAAGATCTAGCTCGACAAACTATACAATCCGGATTTGGATTTAGCTCGATATATGTTCATCGTTTGATTTCAGCACTTGATAAACATCCTTGAATATAATAGTCTAGTTTATTTTCGTTAATGAGTTCATGATCGGATTATTTGACAAGTATTTGAATCTCTAACAAAAGCAATATCAAAACGGTTATTTTTTCCGGCTTCGTGTCAGCTTCCAAAAATCTTGCAATAAAATCGAGCCAAAATATATACCAAAGCGGTTTTGCCATGAAAATATTAGTAGAGTCCTAACAAACATATGTGTCAATTCATGATAAATCAGTGTGAGACTTTTGATTTTTGAAATGCAAATATGTAATATAATAAAAGTTCGATGTATAAAATTAGATTAATAAATGGAGTTGTCTTAAGGAAGAAATAGTAAACCTACATTGTACTTCATTTTGGGATGCATTACTTTTATATTTCAAACAACTACAAACAAAATCTGTTACACAATATGTAGGTTGTACAGGATACTAGTTTTGCATTACTTTTATATATTTTTTTCAAAAATATATAAAATATTTTTTTAATTATTTTTTTCAATATTATTGTTTATAATTATCTTAATGGGTTGAAAACTAGACCTATAATCTATAAATGTACATTGCTTGAAGCCTTGAAACCAACACCGATTAATCTATTTGAGTAAACAAAATCTGTAGAAACTTGTGAGTTTGTATGACTAGGCCTGGGTCGGGCCACCCGGCCCGACCCAGAACCGGCCCGAACCGGCACTGTTCCGGCCCGGTGGCCCGGTCAATGACCGGTTCGGGTAGGCCTGACCCACTGGGGTTCCGGTCCGGGTTCGGGCCCCTCAAAACGTGAACCGGCCCGGCCGGTTCGGGTCCGGTCCGGGCCATTTTTTTCTTTTTTTTTTCTTTCTTTTTTTTAAGTTTTTGGGTTGGGCTGGGTATTTTGGGTCATTTGAGATGGTTTGGGATGGTTTGGGGGTGAGGGGGGTTAGCCCGTTAGGGTTTAATTAGGAAAAGGCAAAAAAAAATTGAACCAAGGCCCGGCCCGACCCGGACCCGGGGGTTACCCGGGCCGGTTCCGGGCCTCCCCTTTCCTGAACCGAGGCCTGGCCCGAGTCCAGGCCTATGTATGACTGTAACTCTATAATTGGCATTGTAATGACTTTATGTTATCAGTTCATCATGTTCAAAGGAGCCGCGGTCAAACTGAGACCTCCAAAAGTGCAGACATATACTACTAAACATGACCTGCTTCACCCAGAAACCATTCTGCAAGGTATATCATATCGGCCCAATATAAGATATACCGTATCACATATAAGATACTGTGGTAACAAGAGATAACGTTTAGCACAACTCCCATGGATGCAAATCATGTACGTATTGGGTTTTGGACTTTGTTTTTTATACATATTTTTTAAATTTGCTTTCAAACGTAACATATTTTATAGTTTTCAAAATTCAAAGTGTACTTCTTGGATAGTTCTTATCTGAATTCTGAAGTGTCCAGTTAACAAGGCTTATATAGCTGACCGTTTTGTTTCTTTATTTTGTCTTAGCCTGCTTGAAGAAATTGTAAGTTTGGAGCATTCATTGGTCCCTTTTCTGGGTATGGAAACATATAATGTCACGCAGAGTCAGCAGAGGATGAGCACAGTAAAGAGCATGAATCTGAGCGAATGTACAAGACAGTTACACATTGATTCTTGACTCTAAGATGCTAATTTTAGATGTAATGGATTCATATAGATAAATGCCAAAGACTGTGTCTAGATTTTAGGGGTGGGAACAGCATAGGTGAAGCTCAAGCATACTTACACGCCCAATGCCATGTTCCTTCCGGAGTTGTATACTTATGTTTTGGTAGAGGTGCAAAACAGGTTTAACAGGAAAAAGAAATCACATATGTGAGTTAAAACTCATGTGTTGAATCACAAGAGCTACAAGCGTAAAATGTGTCTTCAGTTTCTTGTTCTTTTATGCTGTCTATGACATGACAAACTACTCCAGCTCCAGCATTATGAAGCCATTCACTCTTCACCTGAAAAATTCAACCAGAATGCTCAACATTAATGATAGTTCGAAACGAAGTGGCCAATATAAAGATATGATGAAGAAGAATATAAAGACTGGTTGGAATCAACATACATGGATATTATTATGAGCGAAGAAGGGGAAAAGTGCAGATTGGAAGTTAATATCAACTTTCCTCCACGACAGTTGTTGCAAGCCGCGTATCATTTCCTCTGCCAAGGATGCGACCATCCATGATTTTTCAAGGTACAGATGTACTCAAAGATAGGAGTATATAGATAATAGTATATAAGTCTACATACCTTCAAGAATATCATGGTACTCTAATGTGTTCTGTGTGGTCGGTTCATTTTGAACAGCCTCCTTTGCCCAAGTTGCTTCTGGATGGAAATGTGGTCCGTCAGATGAAACAGCAGGACAATGTACCACATGTACAACATGTTTGTAACCGTCTAGAGACCGTGTAGATGGCTGCCAATTGTTTGCATTTCAAACATTTATTTATTTAAAATAAAAAAGCACATTGTTAAAATGTACGTAATATATAATACTATCCATTTTGGGAGTTAGGTCTTGGAGGGGAGGAAGGGTGGAGTGGTTATTTTTAATTTTAAAATTACGAATACTAAATATAGGGTGAACTATTCATTACCTTTTCCCCAAATTTTGCTCTTCTGGAATGAAATAGTACATAGGTAAACATGAGAAGAGATTTATAATTAATTGTAATACATTTGTATTAAAAAAAATTATTATACATATTTATTTTGATGTGTTTATTGTTTATAAATAAGGGTGTTGTTGGTAAAGATTAAGAATCTCTTTAGACACATTATGGTACAAGTGCATCTGTTGCTTAATTTACTTTTTCATTTAAGCACATGGGGTATTTCTATGAAAAGCACCAATCTACTTTATTAAATATGCATTGCAGTAGCTTTTGTACTGTAACTGTTAAAGGGCATGAGGGCATCTTTTCCATTTTCCTGCCAAACGCACTTTACATAAGATGTGAGTGGGTGGAAATAGTGTATGACTTTCTTAATATGGAGCATGGTGATTTAGATAAAGTTAACAGATAAAAAGTACAAGAGGACGTATATATGAACAGAAATTACACGAAATGAGCACTGACAAGAAACAAAGCAGACATGGAATAGCCTTGTTCATATGGATATCTATTCGTGATATGCAAAAAATTACCTCAATAAGTTCGGTCTCCCTTCTTATGGAGGAAGTGCGCCAGCCAACCATATCTATGTTATGTTAAAGAAATTCTAACTTTTAACTGATTATCATTAGCCAAACTCTTATCATTCAGCTGATTAATTTATAAAGGGAAGGCAAGATCAGGATACGGTCATAACAGATGTTAGCATAAACAATGCGGCATCTGAACGTTCCAAGTGCTGATCTGCATGGACAGACACATAAAATCAAGTACAAAAAAGTAAAGTGCATAATAAGGATGTTTTCTTTTGTTCAGCCCCAGACCAGACCAGATCAGACCAAACTTCCGTAGTTATAAAATACACAGAGATCAGACCAGACCAGATCAAAACGTTTTTACTCATATTTAGGGAATTCTCTCAAAATGTTTGGACGGTAAAGGAAAGCAATGAAAAGCATTCGTCATTACTATAAGAGTAACAAAGAGGAAAATGAAAATGATGGGGTTATAATTTTAATTTTAATTTATGTTTATATAGTTACCTACTTACCCGTTTTATGCCCCGCCCCTATTACCAAGTGTTATCAGAAGAGTTTACTTATTAGGATGTTTTCTTCTGGACTGAAATTTCTGCCAAATTTGGCATTACAAGGCTTTTAAACATGACAATTTTTTCCAAACTTGGCAGATTACTCCTATTCAGGGAATAAAAAACATGATACTCCTATTTTAGAATTTCAAAACGTTTTTACTCTTGTTTAGAGCAATTTCTAAAACATTTTTTCACTGTTCACACGCTATCATTCACCGCT